TCTACTTTCTAAGATATCGGTCATTGAATATTCATCTTTTCCTCGTGGTAGTAATATAGAAGTCATTAGTCGACTGAGAGATACATTTTATCATATGATCTAACATTAACAAGCTTTTTAAGCAGTTTATTCATCTCAATACATATTCAATGTCTCGTATGCGAGTAGTTGACCCAGGTTGTGACTACGAATTATGTATGTGCGTCGTTAGAAAAAAGGAGGGCGATGTAAAAAAACTGTGACGTCAGAATGAATATTATGAGATCTGGGCACAACATAGCCTTTCGTGAACCACTACTATCCAAGTGCAAAATGAGGCTATATACGTTTCAAATGTATGAAAAATGTGTAAAAAATTCTTTTTATCGAAAATTGGTCAGATGGAAGGGTTATCACCAAATTGATAGGCTAAAATTTATTGGAGTATTTTTTACTTTGTTGATCTACACAATATATTTTGAAGTTTGTTGAAACTGCTGTGCTACTCGTTTGCTGTTTTTAAATTAAAATTGAAACTAACAAAGAAAATACAGAAATAAAACAAGCGAAAAGACGATAATACAGCTTTGTATACACAGTTTGGAAATGAAAGCTACACCGTTTTAATTACCTGTAAATATTGTTACGACAGCGGAAGTCACGCAACGCTGGAGTTTCTCGAAGGATCATGAATTTTCCTGGCAACTCTAGTTTGTTCCAGGCGCCCTCTTTTTTTAGTATATAAGCCCGGCAAATAAAGCCAGCGAAAAATATAGATTGAAGAGATAGGTAATTGAGTCACCGTAAGTAAAGTGTGTGAATCAATGATTTGTAGCGTGTGTTATAAAGGTTGTTAAGTTTAAAGTGACTGTGGAAATTATATGTATTACAAAGTTGTATAGAGAAAGAATAAATTAGTTTAATTAAGAAAGGACTTGTATCGCTGAAGTTTCTCGGAAAGAATTTATACCGGAAATTAACAAACGACCAGATACGTAACAATATGTTTCATGCTGGCCGTGAAGAAGTATTCGGAAACACGAAAAGCCAGCCTAGTAATAAGATATTGGGGCTAGAAATTGAATTAAGCATATTTTGTACTTAAGAAAAAAAACCTTCTACTCAAAGCTCTAACGAAATTGATGGGTCAAAACAAATTCGTGAAACATAGTGTCTTGAGACAACACACTCACTATTTTTACTGTTTTTTCCCCCGAAGTAGATATAATTTATTCGATTTATGACATTTTCATCTCTTATGATTTTGACCATAGTCCAAGTGATAGCGTGTCCACACTCATGTGAGCTTTTAACATTTCCGTCCATAGTAAATAAACTTGTATTAAAACCAAAAACAGAACACAAGCCACCACGTGCGTCTTTGTTGTAAATGGACCATCTACTGGGACACAGATTTTTTTTTTGTAATCATGAAGAAATAAAATAGCTATCGGGATTGAAACTAATAATATGAAGTCATAATGACTGTCCATTGTTGTGTCTTGGTAAAAAATCTACATATTCTGAACGGTTTCTTAAAACTGCTTTGTAAAAAAAAAGTGCAAGTTTTCTTTCTTTGGACCAAATAACACACAAAATAATGTTATTTATCACCAGGGCAAGCTTTGATACACATTAGATAACTCTTGAATCAAGTGTTAACACATACATCCATTCATTAGTCGTGTATGTGCTGCCACCTATAGTTAATTGTATTAAACCAGACAAGCCGTTACCTTGTCATAATGACCTGGCACGTGCTTGGAACCAGAAACACGAATTGGGAACTGACTTGAGTGACCCAGTTTTTTTTTTTCCAGATCTTATTTGTTAATACTATTAGAGCATTGTTAGCTTGCCAGTTTTCTATCTTTTTAATTTTTTTCTTCTTATCTGAATGCTGTAACTGTCTATGAAATATATTTATGGGAACAAAGTTACTGATACTTCAAGAAGCAAAACAAAAAAAATGGAACTCACCTGTATTTATCAAGCTGAGCGTTAAGACAATATACTCAGTACGTACATTTTTAGAATATGACATTCCTTAATATGTGCTTTTTAGGTCTTCCGTTTTCAGGTCGAACTTCTCAACCACGCGAAATACATTTCTGATCAATATTTTAACACAAGGTACTTCTTACATTCCCAGTTTTGCAGTACACGTTTTCACAACATTATTTGTATTACATGAAACGATTAAAATATTAATGGTTAACTTAATAATTACTTTAATGAATATCTAAGTCCATAATATAGCTTTGTAGAGAACATGGCGTTTAACTTATAAGAAAACTTTCACCTTATGCACGTTATAGTTTGGTTTGTTTGTTTTTGAATTTCGCGCAAAGCTACACGAGGGCTATCTGCACTAGCCGTCCCTAATTTAGCAGTGTAAGACTAGAGGGAAGGCAGCTAGTCATCACCACCCACCGCCAACTCTTGGGCTACTCTTTTACCAACGAATAGTGGGATTGACCGCACTTTATAACGCTCCCACGGCTGAAAGGGCGAGCATGTTTGGTGTGACGGGATTCGAACCAGCGACCCTCAGGTTGACATGTTGTAGAAATATGTATCAAAGTTACTAGATAATATCCTCGGAAAAAATATGCAAAATACATTATCGTACTGTTAGATTAACAGAAGCTGCTAGTTTCCTCAACAGGAAACTGTGTAGGTATCGAGCTGTTGTAACGATTTCTGTTGTTAGGCGGTTCTTATGGATTATTCGGTTATAATAATGCAAAATTCAGTTCATTTAAGAACATCTTACGCACTTTATTTGTTGAAATTCAAGTTCTACAAATTAGTTTTATTAAAGTTCACTGATAAGATTAAATTCACAGTTGACGCCAATACAATTTCACTTAATGATAACTTCTCTCATACGAAAAGATTTTTTCCATATCTTTTGTATTTTGTTGAAACACAAACTCAATATTCACTACAGTAACAGACGAACTCACTAACATACAAATTAATCATGATTTCTCGTGTAAGTTGTGTTTTTAGTTTTCAACTGGTAAAATCACTAAACTTTCAAGAAACTTTTCTAGTCATTAAGCCACGCCCAGCAAGTGATGTAAAAGTTCTCTCTGGCCAGCAATAAAAACGTCCGAGTAATAAAAACATAGCCTACAACACTGCACCCCTCCCTAGATTGTAAAAATCCCTTGAACAACTTTCTCTGTTGTTAAAAAATAGTCCTTTTAAATGAACAACAAGACCTATTCAATTTGAAAATTATTTCAAAGTATGCCGCCACCACCACCAGTGGCATAGCAGTATGTCTGCGGACTTACAACGCTAGGAACCGGGTTTTGATAACCATAGTGGGCAGATCACAGATAGCCCGTTGTGTAGTTTTGTGCTTAACTTGAAACAAACAAACTATGGCTGGTAAAAAGCAGCACCTGTGTAAAAAAATCTTATATTCCTACCAACACCACCTAAAACCTAAGTAATCACCTGCCTCAGTACAAAAATGCACGCCTGTTGTGTACAGCACATAAATCTTGTACTTCCACGAATGTCAAAGAACTATAGACATTCAGTTTGTTTACAATGCGATAAACTACTTAAATTAACCCAAAAATTTACCAATTTTCTTTCAATAAAACCTTTGTAAAAAATCAAGTATATATATAAAAGCATTTCAGTGTATTACATTTAGTGCTTTATAAACAAGTTATTTAGTCAAACAATTTTCAATGGTTGTAGAATATGCACACAGAGGCCAGTTTAGATTCACTGAACATTTTTTTTAATGCTGAATGCATCAAAGCTATTCTGATTGTTGAAAAACCACGATGGTCTGTGTCAATCCAGAAAAACTATTACCAAGAAATTTCTTTTAGAAATTAACACTTTAAAATCTGTTTTTCTTGACATTTATAAGTATGTTAATTTTCTTATTATGCCACTCATCTGATGCATAAGTTTAAAATTAATGTGTTATGTACTTTAGAACAAGCCTTATGGAGTATGAAACAAAACTGAAGCTTACTTTTAGAATAGCCTAAGAAAAAGACAACTGTTTTTGAAGTTTTTTAAAAGAAATTAGAGCTCTTGTTGTTTTAATTGTAGTTAGTGAAGACAGATTTGAAATAATTCAAGACCAAACATACAACTTTAGTTGGCTATTTCTTGATACGGGTTTTTCAATAAGGATTCTTGAAAAAGCTCATTACATGTGTGTATGGTAAGTGCATACTGATAGAATTATATAAATCTGTGAAAATGTTTGGATATGTTTGACAAAGAAACTGAAATTAATAATTTTGTTGGATTAATTTTTCCCCCCAATGCATTTACAACTCTGAAACAAGTTTGTATTGCTAAAAACAAACTCAAGTGAATTTCATGAATGCATGGTTCCAGACTCTATGCCTCTGGCTTTGGGGAGGTCAGCATTTCCTGTCAATCCTATAGGCTGTCAAATTATTCACGTTTATTTTAGCTTTAAGCTTCAGTGAGTTTATTCTAAATGTGTATGGGGCATAACTCAAGTAGGAATCACAAATTTTCCACACATTCACTGGAATGAATATTTATTATATTACGATACCCAGAAAGCTTGATACAAAACTGTACGATAGAATCCAGTACGTGATATTAGCCCTTGGCACAAGGAATATATTATGCAATCTTAAAAAAAAAAGATTGACACTGAAAGCTGCTCTTATTGTTTTAAATGCAACAATACTTTTACACAAAAAAAAAGGTTAAGCTTTATTCAATGACAAACAATTTTTAAATCTCACATGTAAGTAAAAAAAAATTGTTAACCTTTAGAGGTTAAAAGCAATGTCAAAACACATTTGTTCAGCTCAGATATTAAGAAATATTAGTTTAAAAGACTGACACGAATATTTTCTTGGTGGTAGACAATAATCTACTGCATAGCTTTACTCTTCTTTTTTTTTTGCAATTGGAACTACTTAAGCTGGGGTGAAACTGTATAAAATCAATGACTGAAGCACAATGCAAGACATACAAGAATATCCTAGGCCATGAAGTAACACTTTCCTTCTTCCACTTCCTCTAAATATCACTATTATGACTAGCACATCCAGAATTCAGTCCAATGTAAGTACTGCAGAGGTCAAAGAAAGAATGGGTTGGCATTATGATATACAGGTTGGACTGAAAACACTGACATTTTGTGCTGGAAGCCTTGACAGGAAGTGGAAGTTCTTACACTGTTGGAAGGTGGAAACACCTACATGAAAAGGACATAATTAAAAAAATATAAGTCAAAAACTTGCATACCAATGAATCATAAGTATATTAAATATTCATAAATCTATAACAAAATTCAAACAGTAACTGAAAAATAAAAGTTTCTACTGCTGATTACTATAGTACTAAACCAAGTATCAGGATGCAAATACATAGACATCAGTTTTTTAATCACAAATTATATGGGTCACGACTGTATGAAGCAAAATGCATAAATCCTCAAAAATAACAGAATTAATTAACTACAGAAACTTTTACTACTATAAACTGCAACAAACACCTTATTACAGAGATTCATTGGTTCATGTCATGATATAAAAAATATTTTGATCTATTATTCAAAGTTTAACAATCAAGTAAACACTACACAAATATGAAAGATTCTCCAACATATTTTAGCTCAATTAAAACAACAAATATGTACAAACCTTCAACTTAGACCTGGCAGAAATGTCAACATGAAATGATTACACCAAGAACTGACTCACCACTAACTGATATGCATACTGTGCTTTCTATAACTCAACACTAAACACACTGTGTGAAGTAACTTACTCAGTAGCCTGACATTCTCAAGTAGTCTCCTAATCTCTCTACAACCATATTAAGCCTCCCTGGAGGGACACCATCAGTTGTAGCTGCTGCAATAAGACCTATAAAAAAAGAAAGAACTTGTTTTTCCTGTTACAAATAAAGAAAAAATCATAAAATATATTTATACTTTTACATATAGTGTATGAACAGTGATCTTAGTGTTCTCTACAAGTCTTTGTTCTAATAAAGCACCTGATCTTTATTACATAAACAATCACCAAACCCATTTACTTTTAACAGTAAGATCTCGACATTAGGGTTCTAGGCTTAAGTTTTGCTCAATCTAACAGAAACACATTCTGGATTAGTTTAAAATATCTATATCTTTATAATAAGGTTCTATGTTTGAGTTATTCTCAGCCTACTGTTATTATTACCTTGAATAGTTTTTACTAAAAATTTTAAGTTTAAGTCCTTCTCATTCTAACAAAGACTTAGCAAACATAGTCTTATACTATGACCGTTGTGTCTGATTCAACTTTGGCTTCATAATTAATGGTACAGAAAAAGTAAAATGTTTAACAGCTCAACAAAAACACCCTGGATTTTATTTACATTACTGATGCTACTCAGAGAAATCTAACGACAACAACAAAAAGTTTGTTCTATCTCATTACTTGCTGTTATACTTCCATACCAAATAAACAAGACCTTTTCACTTATTGTGGTAAAAAGACAAAATGGAGGATACACAAGTCATGTTAAAGAAATAGCAGTTCACTAAATTTTCTGAAAAACAATAAGTGAATATCTTACAGCTATTTTGTTTTTAATAATTAATTCTCTATTCATGGGTTATTTTTAAAAATTGAGGTCATATACCATATTCAATTAATGAATTATCTGTCTACAAATGGCTACCATAAGCAGAAGTATGGGATGGGGGATAGACTCTTCAGTTTATTTAAGTGGCACAATCTTTTTTTAATCAAAGTAACAGGTGAAAAAATTAAATATGGGCCTAAGAAAATGATCATTAGATAGTCACACATGCATTTCAATGTAGAATATTAGTTTTATAGGCTTAATTTAAAACAATGCCAATACTAGCTTTAAAAGTTACAGCATGAGTAGCAATCCAGCTAAAAAACTTACTCATTATGCAATTACACTGGTCCTGTCAAAAGAAAAAATAACAGAAAATTGATTCTAGATTTTAAACATATTCAGAAGGTTAAAGGAAAAACGTTCACTCATTCTTTAACCCTTCCCAGGTCAAAACTGGTTCTTATGCAAAGAAACTACAATAAATAATATTGTGGTTGCAGAATTGAACCTGGGACCTCTGGTATGTCAAACAGGTGCTCTACCAACTACACTAAAGCACTTGCTAGTAAAGCGCTTTTTGACAACTCAAACTACCACGATATCAACTAAGGCTCTATAAGTGGTTATCACAGTAACTTACAAGCAGTATGAATGAGAAGACTTACATTGTTCTGTGGTAACTATACAAAGTGCTGAACTTCCCTTCCTGCCTCGTAAAAGATTGTCTTCTGCTTTTAAACAGATGTACTTTTCTGCTCCAATGTGAATACCAGTTTCTTGGAACAATGTGGGGTTGGACTTCATTTTTTCTATAATTGATCTGACTTCTGTCTCAGTTATCTGAAAATATTTCAAAACATGTAAAATACTTAAAATAACAATTTAATAAACAAGTCATCACATTTATTATTTATAAAGAATTGAAACAATGTTACCATAAATATGTATTTCACACTACAGAAACAACGGTTGTATTTTATTATACAACATCTAAATATCCTTTCATATAAATTGGTAAAAAAGAAAATATATCAGTTCCCAATATTTTAACATACCACAGCAAAAACAACCAATAATTCTTAGAAATATGGAAACAGAATGCGACTTTACTTAATCTGGGAAATTAACTAATCAAGTAAAGTGTTAGCTTTAATTCAATTTGCAACGAAAAACTTCGTAAGTCTCCGAATGGCACGATATTTTATAACCTATTTAAAAAAAAGCACTTGTTTGGTTAAGCGTTTTTTTATATCTACTTTTATACTTTAATTAAAAAACTCCAACAATTATTTTTACTTCGAAATGGCATAATACTGTAAAAAAAGGATAAAAGTTCTCAATTTATTAAGATTTAATAAAGTAAATAACACCTAGTATAATATTTCGCTACATGCGGTGACCTCCAGCGGAGGCCACACCCACATCCTAAATACGCGTAATGTCAAAATGGCGACATATAAATTTACCATCACAGTGTGTACTAAGTTGTATGTAAAAGCAAACTACAAAATCTAAAAACGATACACTTCTATTATATTAATATACTTGGTCACATCAAAATATTAAATACGTGTTCAATTCTGCTAATCAAATAACTGTCATAAAATAATAAGGAAGGAAAGGTTTATGAATCTAAACAGTATCACTTAATGTTGCAGTAAATTGAAAAAGAAAAACCAATAAACTACACAGGGGAGCTTGAAGTCACAGTAGATTGCAAGAGAAACGACTACATAATCTACAAAGGGAAGCTTAACATTACAATGAATTGTAAGAGAAATGACTAAACAATCTACAAAGGGAATGAACAACACACCTCCATGGTTTTATTATTATTTGAAATTTATACCATCCAGTGTGTTGTATTTATGATTCAGTCTCTCAAATGGATGACGAGACCAAAAACTATTGCATCGCTTACCGAGACGGAATTTAACAAGCGATTCTAATATCTGCTTAAAAGGCTTGCAGGTTATAATTACAGAACACTTTAAAGCCTTATTCCACAAACATTAACAAATAAATCCATTTCATGCATTTCTTTTCTTTCTGTTACGAATGCGGTTATTTTAACATATTGCCTGTTAAAGAGAGAGGGAGAGAAACAAGTTAATGTGTTAAAAAGAAAGTTATACATATATCCCCGCTAAGGGGGAACAATTCTAATTATTCTGAAAAACTAGTTGTTAAATTAGATGTTTAAAAAAAAAACACTAAAAATGCTGTTGTTCACATCTAAGCCCAGCTCATACACGCACTAGAAAGTTGTCAAACCCGTCACTGGTTTTCACGTGACTCATGTTGTGCACATCTGTCACCCCACAGTACGTGGACTATTTATAAATTACATAATCTAGTCACATGATTTTTCTTAAGTATAATTACTAACAATACCAATAGCATGACGACTAGTAGCTGTAGAGAAACCTTGAATAGAGTATCGAAACACTTACCTTGTGTAACACACGATATAATTATTTTTAGAAGCAGACAGTCCATAATTTGGATACACATTTCGGCTTCTATATCATCACAAACATGTCTCTTCATAAGAGGTTCAAGTTCATACACATATACGTATAATAGTTATTTTTAGAAAAAAAAACGTTTCACTCCGTGTGCACCTTCTAGTTACATAACGCAGAACAGAAATTTAAAAAATATAGCAAAGATAAACTAACAAGATTGTGTCTCCTTTAAGGATTTTTAATATCCTATAAATAAATAAATAAATTCTGTATAAAAATCTCTTTATGATGAAATCCATGGGAAAACTCGAAATTTGAAATGTAAAGTATTAAAATGTAGAGATGACAATCTTCAAATTACCACTTTATGATAATATTTTAACATTTATTTCACACATATTACTACCATTTAGAAAATACTTTTATCTGTTTTCATTGTTACTTGGGCTTCTAATGAAAGAAATAGTATTAAAATCTTCCATACGGCCTTTGAGGCATGATATAACTGGTAGAAAAACAGATGAACCATGATTAATTACCATACTGACAAAATAGCTTAATACAATATTCAATGTATAGTGTCTAGCTTAATCGACTATTAATGTTATTTTACCAGTCAGAAAAAACAGATATTTTACAGATAACAAGGAACATAATAGTTTGACATATCTCATCTTGGTATGAAATACAATATATAGCACCCCCATCCCCATGTAAAAACTTATAACCCTTTCCTCAAAGCAAGACAAATAATATTAAATGTCTTGAGGTGGTAATAATTTATTACTCTTCCCTCCAGTGGATACAATGAAATATGTTCTACTAAAACATATACAAAATATGTGTGTACAAATCTACAGGTGCCTCTATAATTATCTTAAAGGTTTATATTTGTCATGATATTCAATATCAAAATACAGGGTGTTCACAAAGTCCTGTTCTGGTTTTTAAAGTTTATTAGAATAAAACCAAAAGAGCTAGAACTATGCAGTTTTTAGCACCTTGTTGCTTAACTAATGAAGATTTTTCTTGATTCACAGATTGTAATCAAATTGTCCAGTTGCTAATGATTGAAATTTGACAGAGATGACAACTACAAAGGAGAGAGCTCAATTTGTGCACTTCTGTGTGTGTAAAGATGTAATCTCTTGTGTAGGACTTGTGTGATCTTGGTAGCTAGAGTTCACTTGGAGCATGAGGAATGGACTTTCTAGGGCTGCATTGGAATGTCTCCTGGACATTAGCACCGGTTTCTTAAGAAACATCTGGACATCCACTTCAAGGCAGGTCAGTCACACTTCCTCTATCAGGAAACTTGTGAAACCACCTCCTAATACTGGGTTTGGAGGGAGGAACCTTGCCATATTGACAACAGTAATCCTGTTACACAATTGTCACTGATCTTGACTCTGCAAACCAGATGACACATTGAGCTTTCTCCTGTGTAGTTGCCATCTTCATTCAAACTTCAATCATTAACAACTGGAAACTTCAATTACATGAGAAAAACTTCATTAGTTAAGCAAAAAGTGCTAAAAACTGCATAGTTCTGGCTCTTATGGTTTTGTTGTAATAAACTTTTAAAACTGGAACAGGATTTTGTAGACACCATGTAAAAGCCAATATACTAGTTGTACAATTAATTTAGTTTGTATTATGGTTTAATTAATTCCATAATCTCCTATAAATTTATCTACTTCCAAAATAGTACAAGTCAGTTTTTGTAGTAGTGAGTTTCAAACCTATCATTTTGTAAAACTAGCCATTCATTCACATCTAAGTACTTACTCTAATATACCAGTACTTTAAAATATTTATGCAAAAAAAAACATATGCAATAAACCATTTCAAAAATTTATGTTAACCTCCTTACATGACCACCAATAACTATGATCTGACAACCTTTGTCTGCAACTTTAAAGAACCGTTTTCTGACAAATATTCACAATAATTCTAAATGACTCAAGTTTTGATAATCCTTAGTTTAAAATTCTTGTGATTCAGCAACACACCTCTTTATAAACAGCAAACTAACAGCCCTTATTCAGTTTTAAGAAGTTGTGGTTTGTAATTCCATACAGACCTCCCGCTACAACAGTCAATGTCATGGTTAGTAAATATATGCTTAAGCATTAATTAATAACAAGATAATATCCTAAATTTCAGCTGCTAATCTGCTGTTGTCATCAGCAAAGTCCTGAGAAGGGGGGATTGCATGTGATAACAGGAACCAGAATTCAATCTCAAGTCTTCTTGTTAGAAAGGCTGGTGTGCTATTAATTTGTGATATAACCTATTACAATATGAATCAACTCTTTGAATGGCTTCAGGATAGGTATGCAAGTTGTGGCGAGTTTTATATACTAGATTGTTTGTGTTATTAGTTTGGTAGAAGTAGAGACTACTTTAATTTTCCTTTTTCTTATGTGATTCATGTCCTATAGTTTAATGTTATTCTGTTTTATTGCATGATTTGTTTTTCGATACAAAATAGCCACATATTACAGATGAGATTTCAAAATTCGTGAACCACCTGAACAGAGAACATTTAGCAATTCATAGAATTACAGTAATATAAACTCCCATTCCTAGATGTGTTGATTACTAAGATGCCACAGGAGTTTACAGGGAATTTATATATACATCAACTACAAATCAAACTAGATTATCCAGTCTACAGAATGAACAAGATATGTAATATAGAAGATTGCTAATAAGAATAAGAATAGCAAATCACTACAATACTCAGTGACAATGAATACCCTGACCATTTTATAAAGAATATTAATAATAGAAACAAAAAATAAGCTGGAAGAAGAAGGAGAGAAGAGAGAGAAAAAAAAAATGGAAAAAGTTAAAACAATCTTCAGAAGTTATAACATAATACATTACTGTCAGCAGAACACCAAACAAAGAAGTGGAAAACACCTTTTACAACATCCCTTGGGAATGTAGAGTCTAGTATACATGTAATGACAAAACCAAAGTAAGTCTGTAATACAGATGTACCAGGCTGCAATACCTCATCATGTCAGAGAAGATCATACAATAAAATTGGATAAAACTAATATAATGGGATAAGAATTACACGAGAACAAAAGAAACCTTATGTTCCTCACTGATAACACATTTAGTCAACCTATAGCAATGCAGAAGCAACCAAAACTCTTGAAATCATTGAAGCAGTTCATTCAAGTCTCAGTGGGATGTGGGCCCTGATGAGAGGATAGTACACCCACCATTCTAACAAGGATACCAAAGACTGAGTTCCAGTTCCTGCCATCAAATTATTAGTCCCTCTCAGGAAAACAACAGTAGCTAGCAACTGAAACATAGGAAATAAACTAATTGGTAATTAGTATCTAATAATAA